TGTACACGTTTGCTTTAACGATCTTTCGACTCGTGTGAAATATTGTTGGCTTGTTCATTCCCTTTGATTGATATATCAAAACCTTGTTTTGATTAGTTGATCTTCCCTCTTTTTTCTCTCTAAGATCTTTTAGAGCCTTGTTCTCTCAGTCCCCTACTGAGTCGGAGGTCTGCACGGCACACTGAAGCACTGTATAATTTGTATTGTTTCTTTGTCGAAGTTCGATACTACAGTTTGGGTGTTAGAGAAGGAATGAGAATGAAGTCTGTCTTACCCTCATTATGACTGTTTCTGGGAAAGGGCGTCTGGTCCTTACACCTGGGATAAGTCATCTCTACTTCCGAGCTATGGTGTATCTTGAGTTTGATCCTTGATCTTTCTTTCCTTTCAATCCCTCCCTTGATCAATCATCTTTTCACTTGCACCCTAATCATTGACTCTTGGATTAATTTCCTTTCAATCCAATGCTTTTTTTCTTTTGGCCAATCATTATTTCTCTGATTCCCCAGAAGAGTTGTAATCACCCCTTTCTTTGGTTAATCAATCATTCTTTGGTTAAAACCAATTCTCTTCTTCTCCAGTGAAGTCACAATCCTTTTTCTTCAGTTAATCACAATCTTCCTTTTAAATACCGAGTCCCTAGCGGAGTTCACAACCTTCTTTTAGTTCTCTCTCCCTGTTTCTTTGGTTAACGACTGTCAATCAGTTAAAGCACCAATTGCTCCTTTTCTCAGTTAACCACCATCCGTCTGTTAACATACTGAGTTCCTCTTGGGTTAATCACCTTCTCTTGGTTAATCGTCCATTCTTTGGTTAATCACAATCTGCCTGTTAAAACCAGGTTAATCACCTTTTCTTGGTTCATCACTTGTTCCTCAGTTAACCATAGTCTATTTATTAATATACCGAGCCTCTTTAAAGTTAATCATTGTCTCCTAGCTAATCACTCTTTCTTTTCGTCTATTAAAATACCAAATCCACTGCAGTTTGCAACCTTTCTTTGGTTCAAACACTCGCACCTTTGGGTTATTAACCTTCTTTTGGTTCAAATACCCTTTCTTCAGTTAAGTATTGCTTGTTCAGTCAGTGTATCGTCCTTTGGGTCACAACCTTCACTTGGTTCCACACCCGTTCTTTGGGTTACAACCTTCGCCTGGATCTACACCTGTCCTTTGGATTGATCACCGTCTATCGATTAAGACCAATTGCTTTCTCTTTTCGGTTAACCACTGTTTACCAGTTGACACGCCGAGTCCCTAGAGATTCAAATACCTTCTATTGGTCCAATGCTCTCCTTCTGGTTCATCACAGTCCATCTGTTGACACCAATCTTTTGCTTTCCCCACAAATTCTTAGTCTTATCTTTCTTCGGTTAATCACTGCTTGCCAGTTAATGAATCGAATCCCCTGCGGATCTTCCTTTACCTTGATTTTTTTCCTTTATTCCTTTATTCTCCTGGTTTCGACACCATTCTTTGGTTTTCTTCCCAGTGGAGTCATCACCACTTCTTTTTTGCGTTCCTCAGTAGAGCCTTTCTTTCTTGGTTTTGACACCATTTCTTTTGCATTCCCCTAGTGGGGTCTTGCTACCTTCTTTTACTCTTGGTTTTGACACCATTTCTGTTTCCTGCTCCTTCTCTGTCTTTGTTCTTCGAACTACGAGGCTCTGAATACCTCATGGCACTATGAGAATACGTAGACACGAGATTGCAAAATCTTGGCAAGTCATTTTCTCCTTCTCTTTCCTAGTTCCATGAACTACGGAGCTTTGAATTCCTCATCGCACTATCAGAATACGTAGGCACGAGGGCCCCAATCCTCCGCAAGCACTTTATTTTTCTCTCTTCCTTCTTTTCTCTTTAGCTAGAAACCTTTAGATAGATAACCCATCCAAGCCTAGAAGTAAGCAAAATGGTTCTTGTCGAGTACTACGGATGCGTGGGGTGCTAGTACCTTCCTCTCGCATAACCAACCCCCTTATTCGTTTCTCTTCCCTTTGGGTTTTATCGATATTTTCCCAATCCTTTGGGACTAAATAAAGTTCGGTGGCGACTCTATTGTATCTTTGAGTGTGTGATTCACTTAGGTATAATCCCGCTAGCTTCAATGTCCAATAAAGGCTGTATGGAATAATACTTCATTTGAAGCTTGGAGTGAAAGAAAACCTTTAGTTAACCACCTTAAAGTTTTTGGGTGTGTTTTCTATGCTAAAATTCCTAAATAAAAGAGGGCACAACTGGAAGAAATAAGTGAAAGATGTGTCTTTATTGGCTATAGTTTCATGTAAAATGGCTATAGACTTTACAACTTGAAAACAAAAAAGGTGATCATTAGCCTGGATGTTGTATTTGATGAGAAGACTTCTTGGAATTGGGAAGAAGACAAAATGAATGAGAAAATAGTCCCTGCAATTTTATTACAACAAAATTCAGCAGCTGAAAATGAGCAACCAACCCCATGTACACCAAGTTCTTCATCCTCTCCAAGTTCACCAATTTCAAGTTCATCATCTCTTAACTCAATTCCAATAAAATTGAAGGATTTGAGTGATATTTATGTATGGTACAACTATTGTATTATGGAACCAAAAGATTTTAATGAAGGAATCAAAGAAGATGTTTGGAGGAATGCGGCGCAAGAAGAAATAAATGCAATTGAGAAGAACAACACATGGCAGCTAGTTGAAAATCCAAATGACAAAGAAGCTATTGGAGTAAAGTGGGTGTACAAATTGAAACATAATCTAGATGGTTCAATCCAAAGAGCCAAGGCTAGATTAGTTGTAAAAGGTTATGCACAACATCCTGGAATTGATTACAGTGAAACTTTTGCTCCGGTTGCACGTTTGGACATCGTGAGGACAATCATTGCGTTAAAACCTCAAAAAGGTTAGAATTTGTACCAACTTGATGTGAAGTCATCTTTCTTGAATGGAGAATTAAAATAAGAGGTGTATGTGAAGCAACCTCAATGCTTTGTGACTAAAGGCTAAGAGGAAAAAGTTTACAGGTTAAAGAAAGCTCTTTATGGGTTGAAACAAGCCCCTAGAGCATGGTATAGGGAAATTGACAGCTACTTCATTCAATAAGGATTTCAAAGAAGTCAAAGTGGGCCTACCTTGTATGTGAAATATCAAGGTAAAAATGATATCCTTCTTGTTGCTCTTTATGTTGATGATTTGGTGTATACGGGTAACAACAAGAAAATGGTTGAAAATTTTAAAATAGAAATGATGAAAAATATGAGATGAGTGATCTTGGCTTGCTACATTATTTTTTTGGTATATAGATTTACCAAGATGAATATGGAGTTTTTATTTGACAAAAGAGATATGCTGAAAATATTTTGAAAAAGTTTGGCATGTATGGCTGCGAATCTGTTGATATTCTTTTAGCGGTGAATGAAAAATTAAAGAAAGAAGATAATGGAAGATTAGTAGATGCAAGCATGTATAGAAGTTTGGTTGAAAGTTTGTTTTATCTTATAGCTTCAAGACCCGATTTAATATTTGGTTGAGAAGAATATTAGAATACATTGGAGAGAAGCAAGAGGAAAGTCTACAACTTCATTGTGACAATAAATCAGCTATTGTCATGACAGAATCCTGATTTTCATAGCCAGACCAGACACTTAACATAAAGCATCACTTCATTCAAAGTGTGATTAAAGAAGGAGATGTGCAATTAGTTTTTTGCAGTTCACAAGAGCAGGTTGCAGACATTTTTACTAAATCACTACCAAGAGGAAGATTTCAGCAACTTAGAGAAGCAATGAGAGTTAAAAAAAAACAATACATTAAGGGGGAGTGTTAAAATTAATGTGTTGTAACCACCACTATCTTTAGTAAGAATTATGAGAAAATTGTAATCACCACATTATATTTAACGTCTTTATTTAGATTTAGAGTAGAGTTGTATCATTAAGATTGAAGAACCAAAAAGTCTTCATCTTGATTACCAATTTATTCTATTCTCCATGAGTTTCTTTCAAGTCTATATAAAGGCTTTGTAATGCTAAGTTGTATGCAATAAAGAAAAAAGAGAAAAAAGAGTGTGATAAATTCAATAAAATCGGAGTATTTTAAAGTATAACTTTCATCAATAAAAGTTCAGAAACGTAACAAAAAAATATTTTTTAACTCTAAATTCTTCAACAATATATTTTATCACATTTCATCTCTAAAATACCACCAACAATGAATAATGCCTTGTTTACATATAAAATTTAAAAGATTGTGGTTGTTATATTTTAACATTATCGTATTTTATTTTGATGTTTTTCCTTAATTGTGACTTGTGACATTGTACAGTTGAATAATGAATTGAGGATGTTTTGATTTATCCTTCATAAAAAAAAAGTCATGTTTCTCGAGAACAATCATTAATAAAGAAAATAAACAAAATTTAGTATGAAAAACATTAAGTGATAGAAAGCAAAAACTCTTATCACTCATTCCCAAATGAGTAACACGAAAACAATTTCCATCAACCTTTTTCACCACACACAAAAGAGGGTAAAGACTTCAAAAAAAATGCAACAAAGCCAACACGAGAAACAAAACCAATAACAATGCAAAAGGATATATCAACAATCTTGTTGTCGATGCTAAGATACTAAAGAAATGCACACAAAAACTTTTTTTAAAACATCCAAATGAGGTACTTGCGAGAAAACGAAGTAGGTCACAAAAATCCAAAAAATAAGTATTTTCGAATATGATTTTGATCACACAGACGAAAAGAGATAGAATAGATCTATAAAATTAATTAAAAGACGGAAAAATAGAGCAAAATCGTGAACTCATAATATCATATTAAAAAATAGTCTACAACAAACATTTCTAGACTTAACAGACTTTGCTTAATAGGTCTGCACAACTAAATAAACTACTTTAAACTAATTTAAAACTAAGTAAAAATAAAACAAACTATTTATGTTCTATTATTGATGAGTCTCTTATGCCATTGAGTGATAGAGACATTTTATGATAGAAAAATGACTTATGGACATGGTGGTGGTTTTTGCAAACCAAGATAGATAGGTTTGATGTTGGCACATCTAGAGCCAGCAGGAGTAGCACCAAGTTGGAGATCTATGTTTTGAAGTTTAACATTTTGGCAAGGAAATTGCTTGCTACACCTTAAATCCACTGCAATTGGACTAATTGTTGTTCCTTTTATATTTTGAAAAACGACATCGCTTACCTTTACAAGTGAAGGCTGCATAGAAGAAAAAACAACAAGAACTTAATTAGTATCTAAAATTTTTACTATGCTCCAACTTCGAAATATAAAGATAAATATACAAACCTTTTTTTGGCAGTTTGGATCACATTCATACTCTTGGTCAATGATGATAGGATTTTTAACATTTTCCATAGTGATGTTACTGAAAGTGATTTGTGATGCGGCTCCTCGATACTTATCTGGCCATGTTTTGATTCTTAGACCATTGTCTGTGCCGGTTAATGTGCTCCTCATTACTCGAACATCTTTCACCTCTAGCTCATCTGGATACTTTCCGAGACTTCCTATACTGTAAGCGAATGTTCTCTTTTCAGATTCGTTGAATAGTTGATGACAGATATGTCTGGTTTATATATCGACCAGATACATGTAGGTAGTGATTTAGATTACCTGATACCGTGTCCTGGACCACACTTGATTCTGTTGATGGAAACTTGGTTAACTCCTTGAATCATGGAGACGCAATCATCTCCCGTTTCGATAGTACTTTTTGATATTTTTATGTTTATTGAATGACTTATGTGAAGACCATCGGTATTTGGGCTAGTATTTGGCGCGGTGAGCTTAAGTAATCGAAGTCTAATATTTGCGGAGTTAGTAACAAAAAAGTGAAACCCTTTTGGATTTACCGATTTTATGTTCTGTATAATTCCGTTTGAAACATTATTGAAATGAAGGCTACTTGGAGCCCTAACACATTGGTCAGCTGAATCAGCTTCACAATTTATAGCAAAATCCCATGTACTTTTACCTTGTCCATCGAAGGTACCTCCGCCGATAAGTTTAATGCCTGCTACGTTGCGAAACATGAGCCATTCGCCATTCACGTACTCGCTAATGTCTGCTGTGGCTAAAACTGTGCCTATAACTTGAAATGTTATGGGTCCGGGAGTTTGACATGGGCCTGCAAAGAACATTGTTGAAACCAGGAATGTTCCTTGAGGGACTAGAAGTCGGGATTGTACATTGGAATGACAGGCTTCTTTCCATGCGTTCATGAAAGCCTGCATGTAATGAAATAAGGCCTGTTTAACATAAATTCGAACACCGAGCAAGAAAATGAAAAATGACTGATTGCAACCACATATGTCAGTATCGTATCTGACATCCTCACGTATCAAATATTAAACACACATTCAATTTAAAATGTCTACTTAATATATTTTGTTTATAAAACATTGTATTAATGTTATCTCACTACGAATAGTGTTTCGATTGGTAATTTTGATAATCTTTGTAAAGAGTTTCCACCGCGGTTTAGCAAAGACTAATCTCTAGAAAACTTGTCAAACACGCAAGGCATATATATTATCCTCTTGCAACCCGCTTTTCTTAAAATCGCTTTGATACGATGAAAAGAAAGGCATATGGATATCAGTTTCGTCACTTGTATTTCCCTGGTTTCAAATCTTGAAGTTTTAATCTCAACAGCATTTGATTCCATGTTGCAAAAATTAGTCTAATCATGAAGCTTTTGTCTATATTATAATACCATTAATGACCAAAGACTTAATTTTCAAAGCAATTATTTGAACACAGCATTAACAAATATTTACCTATATACCAAAGAATCAAATGTCAATTTTTCTAAAGTCTCAAATTTATCAACAGAGAATAATAAAAACACTATCTGCAAATATTCTTATTCAAAACATAACTCAACATGATTAGCCAAATAATTAGCCAAAATATATCATATAATCTACCTGAGTGCAATCAAATTTTCCATCTGGTTTTGCTCCAAAACTCATCACATTAACAACTTTCTCACCAGGAGCAAGAGAATCTTTGGCCACATTTTTACCTCTGTAGATATCAGGACCTGCAACAGGTCTTACTCTTGGACCAGCATCCACATAATTACAAACTATTGCAAACCATAAACTTAAAACACAAACTTTTTTTGCAGTGACCATTGAATCTCAACTCCAAAATATTTTTTTTTGAAATTTTTTTTCAAAAAAAAATATCTATAGTAGAAAAAAGTGATGAAGAATTAAAGTGTTCCCTTTTTTTCTGCATATGTGTATTTGATATATAATCTTTTGTGGTAAAATCAATGGTTAACATTGATTTCGATTTTTTACTGTTAATTTTAACTCCTAAATTCTTGCTCTTCCAATATCTTCTCCTATATTTTCTCTAGCTACCATATTCCATTAGAATAAAGGATAAAATAAAATGTAAATATTTGTCCCACCATTCACACTTATGGTGGAAAAATAATATGCTGTCACCACAATACCTGAATTATTCTATCAATGGATTTCTGAAATTAGCAGAGAATATTTTCATATTTTTTCCGTCTTTTTCTATCAAATTATTCTATACAAGTCACTTTCTTTAGGAATTTATTTTTTGTATTTTAAGTCTTTAAAAAAAATTAATCTCAACTCAATTTTTTGAAAAGAATAATTTGACACCAACTTCATAAATTTAAATACTCAACATGACTAACCAAAGTTTTAAATCATCGCGAAAATCACGTCAGGATCGTTAGTATTGTGAATCGCAATCGCGCAATCGATATATACAAAGCTAGCATCACATAAAATTTAATTAAATTTTATACAAGATATTACAAATGATCTTTTGAAATTAATTCATTATTTCCAACTTTACAGCCATGATTTCTAACATGTTTGTGCTATACTATTACACAAAAATCACACCAGAAAAACAGTTATGAATATAAGGACAAAAAAGTGCTTACAGCAGATAGTACATATAAACTCATTCCATTCCGTTTCATTCCATCTTATTCCACGAATCCAAACACACGGATAAAGCTGCAGAAGACCTTCGACAAATTCATGTTAATCTTCGAGCTGACTTACACAAATGTATTTCATATACTACAAGAGTTAGCAATAGCATACATGATTCTAAACTGTGGTTGCAAACTTCTAAAACTCTTATATTACGACTGAAATTACAGTTACAGACCGCAATTTAGAACTACGAGAAGGAGTATATAAAGTTTACATCCGAAGACGATTTCTAAATTAGTAAACCATTAACTTTCAAACCTCAAAAAAAAGGAAAAAAAGTTACACTACTAAACAAGAGCTCTAAACCTAGTCTTCGATCACCATCATCATCATCGTCCAACCAAACCTTTAGCATGCAACTGATCTGCTCTCTTTTCTGGTATGAACTTGGAAGCAGCTTCGTTGCAAGTGAGTTCTTCTACATTTTTGGTGATAGTAGTAGCTCCATAGCTTGGATAAAACTTGTACTGACAGAGATTTTGAGTTGCTGGTGGATTAGTATTATTGCCAAAACTTTTCTGTCTTCCAAATAATTTTTCAATCTCATATCCAATCTTAGCTATAGAAAGGTCTACTTGAGGTGCCATTTCACACAAAAAAAGTGGTTGGTATATAGTATTTTTTCTTGATGTTTGTATGGTTGTTTTGAGTATTAAACTTGAAGGCATAGATATGTATTTATATAGGTACACAATAGAGGAAAGAAAGATAGATAGCATAGTATAGGATTAGTAGTGAATCTTAGAGGGAAAGAATATGTTATAGTTGGACAAATAATTTATTAGAGAATCATGAAAGGTGGCATGAGATATAGTAGACGTGGTTAAAGCTAAGCCAAATTATTTTATTGACAAGTTTTTTTCTATTTCTTTTGAGGAAATATCTGGTGAGTGTAATGGGTCAGGGATGGATATGGGGTGGCAAAGGTGGGTTGTAGTCCCCCCCACCTATAGAAACATTGTTATAGAATATGTTATTTTGAAAATGATTGTTACTTTGTTATTTGTATGGTATTATATATGAATGAATGTTAGTGTTATATTACATTATAATATTCTTATGATTAATTTGTTTTATAAAGTTAATGAGGTGTTAAAGATGAAGATAGATTTCTGCTCCTTGTTATTTAAAGCAACATTTTAAACTAAAATGTTATTAGAAATTGTAAAATTAAAGTATTTTGAGGGATTATGCCAAAACTCAAAGAAGGTACAGTTCCAAACAATTGTCTCATAAAAAGTTTATTAAGAAAATTTCAGTAGGATAAAAAATATTGACTGAAAAAATTGTGTATGAAAATTGGCTTCAAAAAGTTTGATTATTTTGAATCTTGAATACAAAAGAATACTTATGTCCTTTAGATTTATCTGACTCAAAAACAAAGTTTCATGATGTAACCTATTCAATTTTATTAAGGGCGGAGATTATTAAAATATCTCTCTCTCTAATGGTATAAACACAATTCCACGAGACAATCTATGATGATAGATATATGCTTGTCCTACACTCCTTTCCTTTTTTATACTCGACAAAGCTCTCTCAAATATCTTTATCAAGAAAATTATAAGTCACATATGGAGGTATTAAGTCAGTACTCTTTAGATTTATAATATAATTCATTGTGAGATGTGTCTTAAAGCCTCTCCAACGCTCACGAACAAATGATACTCATTTCTTTTTCTGTTTATTATACATTTACATAATAAAGTTCATATTAGTATTAAACAAAAACAAAAAAGATAAATAGTCATATATACTTGTAAAAAAAATCAAGAAAGTTAAAATATATATCCCAAGATCGGTCCATATACTATTTTTCAAGTCACTCCAATCATCTAACAAAATGATCACTATGCTTCTACCAAGTAATATCACTAACTCTTAAAAGTCGTAGCATTTTTACCATAAACTTTACCACTTTGTATACAAAAATCGATCAACAACCTAATTTCGATGTTGTGAGCTTGTTCAACCTGGCCATTATTGTGGCACCTCTAGATTTTATTTTATTTGTAGTATTAGTATATGTGTTTGTAGAAGAGGTGATAGTTGTAGGAGAGGTGGTGGTTAAATCGTCCATCTATGTTCAATCAACAACAACGACAATAAACATATTACTTAACAAAATATCAACACTTTCTAAGAGAACTTGATAAGTATAGTCTTATAATCCTTTTGCTTAACAAAATTATTTTGTCAATGAAGACACCTAATGCGAGATTCATGGTACATATATGGTTACATATTACTTAACACAATCCTAACAACACTTTATTAAAATAGCATCATAAACATTTTACTTAAAAAAACATCAACAAAATCAAAAGTAAAAAGGAAAAACATATTTTTCTTAGCTCATGGTACATGTGAACTTTACTTAACTCATGATATATATGGAATTTTGTCAACATCAACAAAAAAATGGAAAAACCTATTTCTATTTTTATAAACATAGTCAGAATAACATTACCCACACTAGGGGTGGACAGAAAAACACAGACCGGTCGAATCCGGTCCAGCCCGAGTGTATTTTGAGGTATTGGGTCAATTTGATTCAGGCTGTCGGGCTGCTTAACATGGTTGAGGTGGTTTACTTCGGTCAGTTTCAGTTTTCATTCTTTGACCCGTCGGTATCCGTAAATGATCGAATCCAATAATAATCTTATGGGCTTTCTATCCCTATCAAGTTTAAGTTCACATAAAACCAGGCCTTTAACCCAAATCCAAAAAAATTTCAATCCTTATGTCTCTTCTCCAGCCTAACCCTAAACCTAAGCCTTCATCTTCACATTTGCGCCACATTCAGATCTTAATGCCTCCATTTATTCATTTCCTAGTCTAAGCTTTTGTATATCTCGATCTTCATGTTTATATTTCAATTTGCATGTTATGAATCCCTATCTTTCACCATTTCTTCATGTATAATCTTCACCTCCTATTTATCTTCATCTCATCGGAAATTTCTACGATTATCTCAGTAGTCGAAAGGTTATTGGTTTTTTTTTTAATTTATACTCTTTTGTGATTTAGGGCTAGTGTTTGTTTGTGATTTAAAATTCGGATATGTGCTTTCCTTTATTAGGACTTGATTTGTTAATCTGATACATTCTAGTAGGGTTTAAGTTAATTTAGTTAGTTTAAGTTTAAGTTTATTATTATGTTTGTTAATCTGATACGTTCAGTTAGGGTTTGATTTGTTTCACTAACATATGCTTTTAACTTTTATCATTGTAAATTATGCTTCTATTTTGAGTTTTCCCCTAAATTTAGTTTATTTTTCTACATGGAAACGCTTTGAAACAAGCAGAAGCAAAATCTGTGAGAACGCAGGAAGTTGGGTCTGAGAGCATGCAAATAGAAAAATTAATTATAAATCATCTCTGGTATGTCTTTTTTATATTTCTTTTTAAGTATGATTCATGCTTTTACAACCTTGATTTATGATTTATGTTGGATATAAGTTATGTTGGATAATGATGAGAATCTCTATTTATTAATAATATTTTTTCCTTGTTGTAGTTTATGTTGGAATTTTATTAACATATGGTGAAACACTTGGAAGAATCCATGTATAAAGCAAGAAGATGATGATGGTAGGAAGAACTATTTTGTTTAACATGATATATTGTTGCATTTGTTTATATTTTTTATTTGTCGTTCTTGTTGTTGTTTATACTTTTGATTTGTTTAATGTGCTTCTAAATCTTTTGAAGCTTTGAATTCTTGACATGTCTTGACCGGTTCAACCTAAGAGTCAATTGAAAGAGAAAGCATAAAAAAGTCAGAAGCTTTAGTTTCAGATGATACTTAAGTTGGTTGGTAAGTTGAAAACAACTATCTCCTTTTTTGTTACTATGTTGTCATGATTCATTTTGGCTAGTTTTCTTATGGTAGTGTACTAGATAATAAGTAATTTTTATTTTTAATCATGTGGTGTTATTATGCTTCATTAGGTGTGCTTGGAAAAGCTTGATTCTTTGGTCATGGTAAGTCTTTTGGAGATAAAAAAGGGTGTGGATATTGTTGTTTCTATGTTGTCATGATGTATTTTGGCTAGTTTGATTATGGTAGTATTCTAGATAATAATTGGTGAACCACTGCATAATTGTAAAGCATTGCATTAAATGTAAACTAATTATAAAGCAGTGTGTGAGATATTGGGTCGAACTCATGATGTTAGAGTAACGTGTGTTGTAGTCAAAGCTTGTTCTAACATGCATTAGTCAATATTGCTAGGTTTGTTAGCATGTTGAATTGAGCCTTGCTTGTAAGTCCAAATTGTTTAAGTTAGCTTGTACCCTAAGTTAGCTTGTAATAGGTAATTGTTAAAAAGCCCATTAGGTTAGTGTGTTATTTTTCTTATAAATAGCATGTTAGTCTCTCATCTTGTATAAGGAAACATAAGAAGATAAAATCCTAAATCGAGAGAGAGGGGTTATTTGTTATTCTTGTATACTTGTAATCTTGTTTGGAAGAGAAAGGAAAGAATAGCAGTTTATAACCAATATTTTTTTCCCTTGTTTTCTTTGTTAACCCTAACCCTTGTGTGTTTCTTGTTTATAAAGAAACCGTGTATATTTTGTTCCAAGGTATCCTTTTTCACAATAAATTAGTGCAGTGAGCGTGGAGGAGATGCCTTCCACAAAGTATGAGATTGAAAAGTTTACCGGAGTGAACAACTTCGGCCTGTGGCGCCTGAAGATGAAAGCTCTGCTGGTTCAGTAGGGTTATTTGGAAGTGTTTAAGGGAGAGGCAGCCATGGACACTGTGTTAACGGAAAAAGAAAAGACGATCATGATTGAGAAAGCCCATGGCGCTATATTGTTGAGCCTTGGTGATAAGGTTTTTCGACAGGTATCAAAGGAGACTACAGCATCGGGGTTATGGGTGAAACTTGAAAGTTTGTACATGACCAATCTCTGGTGAATCGACTCTACCTGAAGCAAGCTTTGTATTCATTCAAGATGAGTGAAGACAAAGTGTTGGCTGAGTAGTTGGATATGTTTAATAAGCTGATTCTTGATCTTGAAAATATTAATGTGAAGATCGATGATAAAGATTAAGCATCGTTGTTGTTGTGTGCTTTACCCAGAACACATGCTCACTTCAAAGAAACTCTCTTGTATGGAAGGGAGTCTCTGAGCTTTGAAGAATTTCAATCAGCCTTGTATTTTAAGGACTTGAATGAATGAAAAGAGCATAAAACTTCGATGGTGGGCGAAGGTTTGTCCGTTAAAGGAAAATTCTTGCGAAAGGATGGTAAGTTCGACAAGAATAAAGGTAAAAGTCAGCGGAAGCCTTATAGTGGCGAAACATCAAGTATTCGATGTTATCACTGTAAGAAGAGGGTCACACAAGAAAGGTGTGCCCTGAACACCTGAAAGATCATAGAGGTAAGGATAATGGCAACACAACCATTGTTCAATATGACTTCAACTCATCTGATGTTCTTGTGGTTTAAAGTGGTAACTCAAGAAAAGAGTGGATTATGGATTCAGGTTGCACTTGGCACATGACTCCAAATAGAGAATTATTCGAGGAGCTATGTGATCAAGATGGTGGATCGGTGCTGCTGGGAAACAACAAA